CAACGTTTCTTTTGGGCCATTAGATAGAGCTAATTTTTGCTATACGTACTGTATTCAATAAATTGAAAAGAAGTAAAAAATTATATAAAAGCGAAAGCATAATGAATATTATTTATCTTTCTTTTTCTGTGTTTAATAGAAAAGGAATGCTGTTTTCCCCCCATTACGACTACCAAACATTCCCTTTGATAATAAACTCAACACATGCTCCAAATTTTTTATTCAAGAACCTGTGAAGCTTTTAGGAAATATATTTGATCCTAAAAAGCTTTCAGCCAAATTTTTTAATTATGACTTTCGACAGGGAAGTTATGTAATGGCATTAGACAGGATGAGGCTCATTTACTTTGGCTTAATTAAGGATATTATTAGTGCTGTAATTATGTACGTTCGAACGACATGGTCTGTGCTTTGAGTTTTGACCCTCCTTAAGCACTTGATGTTGGAATGACCGTTAATTGTCCTTTACAAAATTTTCATGTCGATATTATCACTACATTTTTTACTGTACGATCTCTATTTGCTGCATCAGGAAACGATTCGGATTGCTCTTTATGTTCAAAAGGCGGCATTGCAGTTTATTGATGGTATTTTGCTCTATTCTCGAGTTACGCACTTCATACAGTCACAATTTTTTGAAAACTAATTATTTTCATATATGGCTTGTGCAGCTGGAGGTCGCGTTGATTACAGTCTATCAGATGAGGCAAGAGAAGCTGGTTTTGGTATTAATCCAGATGACATTGCCTCCATTGTTCGTAGCCATGATTACAAGAAATTGAGAATGATTGGAGGAGTTGAAGGGGTCGCATCAAGATTATCTGTCTCCTCCATGGATAAAGGTGTCAGTAAAAACAGTATAAATACCAGGCAACAGATTTATGGGTTCAACCGTTATACAGAGAAACCTACTAGAACCTTCCTGATGTTTGTGTGGGAAGCATTGCATGACTTAACGCTAATCATTCTTATGGTTTGTGCTTTAGTATCTATAGGTGTAGGGATTGCCACTGAAGGGTGGCCGAAGGGTGTGTATGATGGTCTGGGAATCATACTTAGTGTGTTCTTAGTCGTCATTGTTACTGCTGTCAGCGACTACAAGCAATCGCTGCAGTTCAGGGATTTGGACAGGGAGAAGAAAAAGATATTTGTTCAGGTCACCAGGGATGGGAAAAGGGAGAAGATATCAATCTATGATCTGGTAGTAGGAGATATTGTCCATTTGTCAACTGGGGATCAAGTTCCAGCTGATGGGATTTTCATATGGGGATACAACTTGCTGATCGATGAGTCGAGTTTGTCAGGTGAGAGCGAACCAGTAAACGTAAATGAAGAAAAACCTTTCCTTCTTTCAGGAACAAAAGTGCAAGATGGTCAAGGGAAGATGTTAGTGACAACTGTTGGTATGAGGACGGAATGGGGAAAGTTGATGGAAACCTTAAACGAGGGTGGAGAGGATGAGACCCCATTGCAAGTGAAACTGAATGGAGTTGCTACGATTATTGGTAAGATTGGTCTGGCTTTTGCTGTAGTAACATTTCTGGTGTTGATAATAAGGTTTTTGGTGGAAAAAGCACAGCACGGTGAGTTTACTAATTGGTCTTCGAATGATGCAATGAAGATGCTGGACTACTTTGCTATTGCTGTCACCATAATAGTTGTTGCAGTCCCTGAAGGATTACCGTTGGCTGTAACACTCAGCCTTGCTTTTGCAATGAAAAAATTAATGAATGACAGGGCACTTGTGAGGCATCTTGCAGCCTGTGAGACAATGGGTTCATCCAGTTGCATTTGCACAGACAAGACAGGGACGCTGACTACTAATCATATGGTGGTTGATAAGATATGGACATGTGAAAAATCCATGGAAATGAAAGGTAAAGGGAGCGGAGACAAATTGAAAACGGAAATATCTGAAGAAGCTCTGAGCATCCTTTGCCAAGCTATATTTCTAAATACTTCTGCTGAAGTAGTTAAAGATAAGGATGGAAAGAACACGATATTGGGAACACCAACAGAATCTGCTTAGTGGAATTTGGGTTGCTTTTGGAAGGTGATATTGATGCTCAGCGCAATGAGTACAAGATTGTTAAGATTGAACCGTTCAATTCAGTCCGGAAGAAGATGTCTGTCCTTGTGCGTCTTCCTGATGGACGGGTACGAGCTTTCTGTAAAGGTGCATCAGAATAATTTTAAGAACATGTGACAAAATTATTGATTATAATGGAAATACAGTTGATCTTCCTGAAGATCGTGCAAAGAATGTCTCTGATGTGATAAATGGTTTTGCATCTGAAGCTTTAAGAACTCTTTGTTTGGCTGTCAAAGATATAAATGATAACCAAGGAGAGGCTAGTATCCCTGATAATGGCTATACACTGATAGCCGTTGTAGGAATCAAGGATCCCGTGCGCCCTGGGTTAAAGAAGCTGTCCAAACTTGTTTAGCAGCTGGAATAACAGTTCGTATGGTCACTGGTGACAATATACATACAGCTAGGGCTATAGCTAAAGAATGTGGTATACTGACAGAAGGCGGTGTTGCCATTGAAGGACCAGAATTTCGAAACCTGACTCCTGAGCGAATGAGGGAGATCGTACCAAATATTCAGGTTCTATTTTCATTGCAAATTTTGACTTTCAACTCTTTTTTTGGGGAAAATGCCTGTCTTCTTATTTGCTTAATGTGGACACAGGTAATGGCACGATCCTTACCGCTTGACAAACATACCTTAGTTACAAATTTGCGGAATATGTTTGGTGAGGTTGTTGCTGTTACAGGCGACGGAACCAATGATGCTCCTGCACTACATGAGTCGGACATTGGACTTGCCATGGGCATTGCTGGGACTGAGGTATTGTATCTCCTATACTTCCTTAAGTCACAAATTCACAGTTGATATCCTCCAGGCATTAGAATGTACTGCCTATTATGGGTTCCGTTTTAGCTTTACCCCAGCTACAGAGAGTATAAGTTGCGCTTTCCCCTGGAAAAACATACATTAGGCCTTTTGAAGGACATTATTACCTTTTTAACTCTGCAAACCTTTAAAATCTTTATACCAGATTGCACTGTATGGCTGTTGGTATTGGCAACCCAATTGTTGGTCCTTCATAGTGTATTTGAATAAATAACCTGATTGGTTATAGAACTACGTATCACGTACCATTTTATTTGTGCCTGTATCGTCAATATAATCATCAATACTCTGATATTATGTTTTCTTTTGGAATTATGCCATTCACAGGTTGCTAAAGAAAATGCTGATGTCATTATAATGGATGATAACTTCTCAACTATTGTCAACGTGGCCAGATGGGGACGAGCAGTATACATAAATATTCAGAAATTTGTTCAATTTCAGTTAACAGTCAACGTCGTCGCTCTTGTGATCAACTTCGTTTCTGCATGCTTCACTGGTCTGTTGGTTTCTGAATGTTTTTCGCCCCATTTATTGCACTGAAACTTTTGAGGAACACGAATAATAGTTTTCTCGTTTGTTTTCAGGATCTGCTCCTCTAACAGCCGTACAATTGCTCTGGGTCAACTTGATTATGGACACTCTGGGGGCATTGGCCCTGGCCACAGAACCTCCTAATGATGGACTCATGAAAAGGCCTCCTGTCGGTAGAGGAGCAAGCTTTATTACCAAAGCCATGTGGAGAAATATCATCGGTCAAAGTATATATCAACTAATTGTCCTTGGCATTCTTAATTTTGATGGGAAGAACCTTCTGAGACTCAATGGCGCGGATGCAACTAGTGTCCTAAACACGTTAATATTCAACTCCTTTGTCTTTTGCCAGGTACAGCATATGATTGATCTATTGAATTGTCCTTCCTCAGGTCCACTTAGCCGTTATCTAATTGTCTCTCTGCTTGTTCTATCAGCTTTTCAATGAGGTCAACAGCCGAGACATAGAAAAGATAAACATATTGAGAGGCATGTTTGACAGTTGGATATTTTTAGCTGTGATATTTTCCACAGCGGCATTTCAAGTGGTCATTGTTGAGTTCTTGGGAACATTTGCCAGCACTGTGCCTCTGAACTGGCAACTATGGGTACTGAGTGTGTTAATTGGAGCAGTAAGCTTGCCCATGGGGGCTATCCTGAAGTGCATTCCTGTTGAAAAAGATGCTCCAAAACAACACGATGGCTACGACGCATTGCCTTCTGGTCCTGACATGGCTTGAACCCATCAATGGCGTATTCCGTTCCCTGGGCAAGTGGGTCGGAGGGCTATTTTGCTTACGTTCTCCCCCCCCCCCCCCCCAAAAAAAACAAAAAAAAAAAAATAAAGCTGGACTTTGGATGACTCATACGGCTAATTGCTAACTCATACTTTTTGTTTGACTTTAAGGAAAACCGTATTTCATTGCTCCGTGTTAAATGCCCGGGGCGCTTTGCTGTCAGTATTCTATAGTGCTAGTAATGTCGATCCATTTTCCTCCACGTGGCAGCATTACGAGTATTGTATTGTTATGAAGCTTGCTTCGCCACGGTTGTTTTCTCTGCATGTTCTCAGCATCCATTAGCCCACAAAGATATGTGAAAGACAGAAGATTGAAGCGCCTCAACAATCATGACAATTTTGCGTCTTGGGAGCTCCCCCTAGAATTTCGTGCTTGTGCGTTGTGATCAGACTGGGGCGTGACATCCAATGTTAAAAATATGAATTTACGAATTAATATAAGGATTTTTACGGTGTGAACTTTCACAAGGTGCCACTTTTCCACTTTCCCACCCCACAGTATACTTGCCCAAATGCAAAAGCTATTTTCGCCTGTAATCGAAGAATAGCAGAATCTGCTCGGCAAAATCTAACTGTGATACAAAAATATTTCCGCATACATGCAACAAGCATGACAAAAAATTACTTTACCCGCCCCAACCTGGCCATGGTCAATTACCAAGAATCATGTTCACGTGGGAAAAACTAGGACAAATCAATTACAAAAATAGATAGGAGAACGTTTAGACAGAAAGACAAGTTGTTCATCTAAACCTTCTCTTTGTTTCTCCGTATGCTGCCACCCCCCAATACTGTAATTGTGTAGCCCGCCATGCCCACAACAGTCACAGGATTTCTAAATATAAGGATTGAGATCACAACAGCCACAGCACCCTTTGCATTCCCCAACACCTAAGTCACAACATTTGAGAGGAAAATTAGGTGATTAATTATCAAAGCAACAATTTCTTTCTTTGTTGGTCCGTGAGTAATTAGCGAGTATCACTACTCTCAAAAATAAATGCCTGGTGTAGAGGATTCGATTTATATTCTTACAGTATTACTGCTAGTATTACAGAAGGATGAAACTCTCACAGTCAATTAATTAAAAGTAAAAAGGGCTCAGAGGAGCCACAATTAACAATTATGTTAAAGTGGTGCCTAAGCGGTCTGTTTGCTTGAAGAAACAAAAAGCACTTAAACTTCTATTTCACAAAATACTACAGAGCAAACTGATCATGATCTGAGTTTTGAATTAAATTTCAAGCATAAAAGAAAAATATTATTTAATATCCAAGAAGTGATCAAAATTTGAATTCGTTAGTAAAAAATTAGCTTTTAGCTAATTGATTTGTATAGGGAACAAACCTGAAGGGTAAGAGCACTTGTATGCTTAGTCACCAAGAAGTTTGATAAGTTCGCTACATAAGCGGTCACTGAGTTAAGCAAAAGAAGAATCCACATAGATTTTTTCTCCCTTCCAAGAGTTGTTGTGACGTCTATGACATTGGGCTCCATAATAAGCACTGCAGGAACCAAAACCACGACAGCCATTGGAGACATATACAGGAGCAAATTCATCGAGTTCAACTTCTCCCTGTTTGTTTGAAATTGAAGTTAACATTATGAGAAATTTATTGCCACCAGAAAGGGAGTATTTGAATTTGGTCTGCTAAGCTAAGTGGCCAGGACAAGAACCTAAAACTGTTGAAAGAGGTTGGATTCAATCATATATACATGAGAAGGAAGCAGCGAAAGCTCCATTTTGCAGCATTATCATTTTCATCATGGTTTCTGGTCTATAAGATTGCAGTTTCCAGAAGATTTTCTCACAACTCAAAGAATGAACTTGAAGAAAGAGGTTACATTGTCTCATTTTTACCTCCTTCATTTCATTGGGCCTGACCAGGCATTCAACAACCTAACTTTCAAGTTACAACAGGGCACACAAACCAAGTACCTAGAAAGAGATGAAAAACCAAGACTTCCCATTAAAGCAGATAAGGCAGATTAATTAGTAAATTCTCCACTCTTGAACCCCCATTCACATCCCCCCACCCATTTTCAGTCCTCGGAGTTTTGTCACCGAATTTTTTTAAAAAAAAAGACCTTTCTAACTGATCAACTAAAATAGCTTTATCATTTAAGAATCAATATAAGGAAATGAACTTGTAAAGAAGCTCCATTAATGAACAAGTTCTAAAAACGAATATGTAAATGTGTATAATAGAAAGGTGAGGGGTTGATATCTCAAACTTTAGATGGGAATTTTTTTTTTTTTTTTTTTTAAAAAGGATCATACAAATCATCGTAGGTGTGGCATAGATGTTTACCCTTCAGAAGAAAGTAAGATGCCCTGAAGGACAGACTTGAAGGCTCT